CTTTTGGACCTCAGGGACCACTAAATTCATAATTTTAAATCCAACGGACCATTAATAAGATCTGCCTAATGACCGGCTGGGTGGGCACGGCTAGATGGTCATGTGACTGAGTGGGCATGGCCAATTTGATGTCACTCACATTGAGGGGCGTCTCACCAGCCTCTAGTTGCCCCTCCCCTCCCAGCCATTCCTCACCTGACTCCTTAGCACCCCAATAGGAAGCAGTTGTTGGAGCTAAACAGCCACCATGAGAAATAATTGGCAAAACAGCAGGCTCAGTTCAAATTGGATCTGACCGAGAAGTCAGCTCAGCAAAAGCACCTCACTGAGGACTACAAGCATAGGCTTTCCAAGCAGAGGGAAGACCTGCGAGAGTGCAAGGCCAGGTATTGGCACCTGGAGGCTCAGAAGGCTGAGATAGTCAGCCAGTTCCAGGCCATGATGCAGTCTCATTGGAACGAGGCCAGGGGAGACTCTGCAGCAACACAAACGGTCATTGCATGTATCCGGTCCAGGGGCCATAGTTTGAGGACTCCTAATTTAGTGCAATAAAAAAATACAGATAATTTTTCTGCAGACCACCAAAATTTTCCCATGGACCACCAGTGATCCACATATCACCAGTTGGTGACTGTTGGTCTAGAAGACCTCCAAGGTCACTTCCAGCTCTATTCTGATTGATTTATGCTGATAGATAACAGCAAGTTGGACTGCACCTTTCTGGATCAGTTTGCTTACTTGAGTAGCAAGAACAATGTAACTCTGTAATAATGCATGCTGCATGGTCATTAACCTTAACAACTTCTATCAGTCATTTTGGAATTTTTACTTAGAAGGTAGATAAAACAGAATGAGAGATACAGGATATAAACTTTATTGTCTCTTTTCAACAAGAACCAATACAAGGAAGACCTAAACCCATCCATGTACAACTGTATAACTATAATTGTGCAATGCCCATAAAATAGCAATCAAACATTAATTAATATTCTTTACATTTATCTATAGGAATCTTGATTTTCATATTAGCAGGCCCTCACTGGAAAAATGGGAGTTAACATTTATAAAATCAAGAGAGAATTTTGTTGAACTAAAATATTAATGCCTCTGTGCAATTACTAATACGTTCTAGATGGTAACTATTTCATATTTTGGATCAGGTTATATCTACTGGGTGTGCTTTTAAAGCAAACTATGCAGAAATATTTGAAATTGCATTTAATTGGTATACTTTATTGTCACAGATAATAGTTTGCGGGAGTATTGCTATTAAGAATATTTATAGGATGAAATTGTAGACTACGAACCTCAGTCACTTCATTTCCATTGTGAAATTGCTATTTTTCTGCTACTTTGCTTCTTAGGGGTACTATTATTTAAATAAAATATTTAACAGAATTATATACTGGGTACAAACTAATCCAAATTCATATTGTTTATTATAGTTATAGCAACTGTTATATTTTAAACTGTGAAAATATTCAGTATATTTATTAAGAACAAATTATGTTCATATTTATTTACATTTGATAANGTCTTCCCGGATGGGCTCCGGACCAGCGGAGTCGCCTCCTCCTTTTTAACCAGGCGGCTATCAGAGAGAAGAGGGTAGGGCGTGCCCGTGGCCTTGTGCAGCACCCGAATTCTCACCTCCTGTTCTTCGGCTGTTGCACAATCCCAAGGGCACGGGCTGCTCGGTTTGCTGAATCCAGTGCGGCTTCAGAGAAAGAAGGCGTGGAAGAAAGCCCCCCCACATCCCCACTGCCTGAACGTTTGAATGAAGAAGGCTGCAGGCTCCTGTTCCTCGGCTATGCGATTTTCTTTCATTCTCTGCTGCCCGAACGAGTGAATAAGACAGAGGGAGAATGAAAGGAGATTGCGTCCCTTCTGTCTCCCCATTGCTCAGAAAAGCAACTCCAGGAAGGTCCTTTGGTGGCGGCAGGTGTCCTAGAACCTGCCTGCTAGCAACAGTTGCTTTTCTGAGCAACAGGGAGACAGAAGGGACAAAATACCAGCTGGCCAGGACGGGTATACAGGGCTGGGGGCAGGGCAGGCTTCCTTCCGGGTCCGGTCACAAAAATCGGGACTTTTTAAGAACACCCCGGGACGCAGGAAAAATTGTACAAAATCATGACTGTCCCGCCAAAATCGGGACGTCTGGTCACGTTAGTTTATGTGTTTGTTTGACTGTAATATTAATAATGAGCATTTTACGATTTGTGGGCCATATCTGGCTTTTTGGCTTACCCTGTCTGGTGGTGGCAGTGGCAGCAGGGGATGAGGCAAGGGCAGAATGGCATCGGGGAGGTGGCAGTGGCAGACCTCCACAACATTCCCAGTTTCTTATGTGGCTCCTTGGGAAAATTTATTTCCCAACCCTGATTAGCCAAACTGGGGATAGATTTTAGAGGGATAGATTAAATCAGGCAACAATAAACTAACATCAAGCTTGAAACTGGATTCAAAATTATTTTATTTCTGAATGTGTATGTGATCCTTCCTTAAATGCTTTGAGCTTTATCACATCTTATAATGATTACGTGGGCATTGCATGTAATGAATCAATCACTTTTAATTTAGACTAAATACGTCACAAGCAAGATTCTTTACTCATATGAATGTGTATAACTATTGGAAGAGCATAGAGACACTTCAGTCAAAAATAACTTGGATAATGCTAGTTAAAATTGTATTTTAACTTTTTAAGGTTGTGTCACATGCAAGATTTAAAGTGTCTCTGTGATCTGCAAAAAAAAGAGAAAAAATTGACAGCAGTATATGACTTGAAAAACTGAAGCTCTCTTTTCCCCTATATTTTAAAAGCAACCCTAGTTCCCTTTTTGTGGTTAACAACATACTCCCTAATTTCTAGGGAATAAGCATGCTGTGATTTCACTTAGTACTGTTCACTGCAGTGTATCATTTTTAGCAGATCCTGCATACTGAGAGTAGGGAAGTCATATAGTGGAGCATCTTAATCATGTAAACATCAACAGTGCTGATACATGGAACAAGAAAAGAATTGGATTGAAAATAAAGGAAAGGGGAAAAAAGAACATTGAGGGTTTTTTTGTTTTTTGTTTACTTGCTTGCTTTTCATCTCTCTCTTCCCTATCCATGTTTTTGCAGTTGACTGTTGCTCCTCATTCCACTACTGAAGTATCAGTTCTGTTTTGTCCATCTGCACTAGGAAGAACAAATCACACTGCAAGCATAATTTTTAAATGCCCACAGGTAGGAATGTCCAGTTAGATGTAATGAATAACAGATTATCTAATATTAATACAAGTAATTGTTAGGCTGACAATAAAAGCTAGTTTTTAATAGTATGGCTCAACTCTAATTTTCCTCCTCCCCTTTCCTTCCTTCAATTTCTTGTTGGACAACCCACTTCCTCCAATCTAACCAAGAGGGTTTCTATATACTTGAAAATAAGTTGAGAATTTAGGTCCCAAAATGCACCTCCAAAATTAGGTTTGACTTATCCATAGATGTACAGTATATATATAAATTATATATGATATATAAAGATAAATATTTCCTTCCTTCCTTCCTTCCTTCCTTCCTTCCTTCCTTCCTTCCTTCCTTCCTTCCTTCCTTCCTTCCTTCCTATATTTTTCTGAATATAATTTATATTGTAATTAATATCTTTAGTAATAATTATTAAGGGGGAGTACAGGTTGTTGTGGCTAAATCATGGTATTTGATACTAATTTGCATTGCTAAGCAATGCAGCTATAAAACATGTCACCACATTACGTAGGAGCAACAATTTCAGTAATCTCTGTTGCTTTCAATGAGTGAGGATTGCAGCCAACTTCCTACTGGCTTTCAAAAAGCAAAGCCATTAAGCCACAATAGGAATTACCTAACATTCTTCCAGAACACAAGCCATCATCCCCAGCAGACTTTAACCAAACCTGGGGGCTCAGACAACCTATAGAGCCAGCTATGACCCCTACGTAGCCCGTACAATGGCCAATACATGTTCTTGCACAGGAACAGGAAGATCAAGTGCAAAGCCCAAGATAAGATATAACCACCACCACCCCCACACACATACTCAACTTCATGTAGTCAGCTGCACCAGAACCATGTGCTTGGTGGTTCTGCTTCATCATTAAACCATCTTTCCAATCTGTTTCTGAGTAATGGGGGAGGGCATGTTTGTGTGCAGCTATCTCTACAAGACAGACAATACAAACATTCCAGACAAATTTCCAGACAGAAGTCCACGTTGTTCAGAACTTGCTGTGCCAACCACTCCCAAATGCCATCCCTCCATGAATCCATTTAACTGATAATGACATAAATGAGGCAAGAAAGAAAACTTTACAATGAATTTCCACCCTGCCCCAAAGTCTTTCCAGCTGTCTTCTGGGGATTAAAAAGAGTCTTTAATCTCCACTTGTCCATCTCAGGGTCCTCCCTTACATGGCTGCTGGGTGGCACTAGGCTTGGCTTGGTGATAAGGCCAGTCAGTCAGGTTTGGGAAGGTCTCCTCCATTCTGGTTGCTGTGATGACTTTCTAGTGGATGGCTGAATGCAAACCCAATTCTTTGGCTCAAATGAATGGAAGGAGGCAACATCTGTGTCAGTGTGATCTGCTTCCACAGGTTGCAGAGTTGCCTATGCAGGGCTGAAAGACATGAGAACGGGGCCCCTCCCCCCTCTGTGGGTGATCCACATACAAAGACAAGGAAAAGAGAAAAGAAAAGAAAACAGAACTCTCAGGTTTACATCCTGGTCATTCCCATCATAAATTTCAGTTAACTTAGGGAAGGCACAAATCTTAACAAACATATTACATGGTTGCATAGAAGACAGAGAGGAAGAAAAGGGGGAATCAATGTTCCTATTTATATATTTTCCTTTTCTTTTAAGTACCTTTTTAAACCAAATTGGTTTTCCAGCTTCGTCCCTGAGCAAAGCCAACTCATTACACAATTTCCTATGTAGGGGTCATAGCTGGCTCTATAGGTTCTGCTGTTGTTTCAAAATATCCTGTCTTGAATGGATTACTAAATCTGCATTTCTAAAAGCTGGCCTCAACATCTGCTGGGCTATTAAGAAAGACTTGGAGGCTGCTTTCTGCCTGTAAAAAATATGTTTCTCCATTTCTTCCTTTGGGTAAATATAATATTCTGCCTCTCTTTAATATTCCTCAAAATATTTCATTCTTCTAGGAGGGGGTGGTTTCCCACACTAGTTTCCTTGACAAACCAGCAACATTCATTCAGAATGTAATGACACCAAGTGCTGTTAGAAGTGAGAAGAATCTGTTATCAGGTCCTGCAAAATATTCTTTGCTTAGTATTCTTGTTGGTCTCCATATTTAATATGCTATTGTGACTATGTAGCTCCTCTAAATAAGCAGAACTCGTCAAAGATAACAGGTATAGGAACACAAAGCTTATTAAAAAAATCAGAATTGTTTTAGAATTTGGTTTATTACCTTTCTTGTTTTGATTGAACATACTGTAATTTCCATTTAAGTGACGCATTTGTTATAGTAGACTTTGTTTCTTTAATTTAGTGACTTCAACTTTTTAAAATTACTTTTTTGGAATGCATTTAGAATGGTTATTTGTATAGTTGATCCAACTGTTAAATATTGTGTTCTTTTTGCAAATGTATTAATATTTACTATTTTTTTAATTTTTATTTTATACACATAAACACATCAACAGAACACATAAGCACATTAACAAAAATAACCACATAACTTAAAAACAACATAGGAACAATAAGTTCCATCGTATATCATACAGCAATTCCAAATCGGTTTCTTTGCAGTTAAGAGTTTTCCCTTCTATACATTTCTATCTTGCGTTCATAATCTTGATTATTCATTATCCATTTTTATATACATT